TCTGTCCCTGCCCCTCCCCCAGCTCTCTCTCCAGGAGGAGAGGCTGGAGGTGTGGGGCCTGGACCTGAATGGGGTCACAGGGGGTCGCCCAGGCATCAGACAGTACTGGGAAGGGATCGGGGTGTGAGCGCCCAAAACAGAAATGCCAGAGCTGGCGGTGAGGCCTGCTGGGACTAGGCCTGGGGGTGTCCAGGCTGGGGTCTGGAAGAGACCGATTAGTCAAACGGCTGCAGTGACCATTTGGAAGCAATTAACAGGATGGCTGTTACCACATTGCCCACCCCCACCTGGTTCCGTATACTGAAGGAGGGCGCCGTGGTGTGGGTTCTCTGGGGCATCAGCCCAGCCCAGCCCAGCAGGACTTTGTGAATGAGATTTCTGCCCTGCCAGGAAGATTTCATGAAATCAGGTACCCCTCCCTCGGCTGGGCCCCCAGGGTCCGAGGGCCTGGCATCCCAGCAACATCCAGAGTCAAGCCCAGGTCTTCAGGGGAGTCCCGGGGGGCTTCCTGGGTCAGGAAAGACGGGTCGGGGAGATTTTGAAGCCTCAGTGGGTGGGAAAGCCAAGGCCTGGGGCTGGGAGGGAGAGGCTGCGGGCAGTGGGCAGGGGGTGCAGGTGGGCGGGGGAGTGTCCCCCAACACTGGCAGAGGATGGAGCTTGCCACAGGGCCTGGTGCAGGGGGCAGAGGGCAGCTTCAGATTTTAGACACTCCCTCCACCGTCAGGCTGGAGGCTCTAGGCAGGGCCCCAGAGGCTTTGCTGCCTCCAAGAAGTCCCACTAACCAGAATGCCCATGGGGAACTGGTCCCTGGGAGGAACGTGGGGCACAGCGGCCAGCTGTCCCAGTGCAACTGGTAACAGTGCCCTGTCTCACTCTCAGAGGCATCTCGGTTTGCATAATAAACTGCGGTCCCCTATGGATGGGGCTGGCTCCGCGCTGACGTGGCAGAGGGACCTGTGCAGGGGTACTGCCACTGAGTTTCTCTCACTATATTTGAGGCATTTGATGTATGAGGAGGCAGCATCTCAGAGGGGCGATGCTACATGGCCTAAGTCACAGGGCTAGGAAGCAGCCGACCCATTCATTCATTCAGTCATTCCTTCTAGTAGGTACCGAGGGCCTACTGTGTGCCGGGCACTGTCTAGGAACTGAGGGTCCAACAAAACCAGCAGAACCTCCTGCCCTCTCACCGCCCTTGGATCCCCGCTCGGCACCAGCAGTGCTGCCCCCCAGCCAGTTCTAGGGTGCAGGCAGACCTGGGGCTGGGCTGAGGGTGACCCACAGTGGGGGGGGGGCTGAAACTGGTCCCACTTCCATTGGAAGTTCAAGTGATCAGCAGTCCCAGGACAGTTCTGTGGGTGGAGTCCCAGTGGGCAAGCTCTCCTCTTGGCTCCATCCTTGGGGGCTGCCTGGGGGCTGTCCTCTGTTGTAAAGCAGGCTCCATCATTAAGGGGCTCTAGAAATCCTTAGCCTGGTCTTCAGATTGTTCACAGGCTCTGACTAGACAGAACTTGGCCAGAAGCCACCTCCCCTGGCCCTGGGATACTGAGTGATGTCCTAGGCGTGGCCCAGGGCCACTCAGGCACTGAGCATGCTAGCATGAGCTCAAGGACACGCTGCCCTGTGTTAGGCCAGGGTGGTGAGAAATATCCCAATGGGGTGTGCTTGCTCCTGCAGCTCAAGAGAGCCCCTGGTGCCCTCCACACACGCCCCTTCCCTAGGAAGGAGCAAGGTTCCAAATCCTGATGCAGGTAGAAGGGATGATGGGTACCAGCCCACCTGGCTCATCCCAGAGCCCCTGGACTTGGAGCCAAGGCTGTAGCTTTGACCACTGGACCCCATAGGGTCACCCCAGCAAGTACCCGTGCTTGATCCCGTGTGTCAGTATCAGGCTGGCTGCTGGCCAAGGGGATGCTGGGGCGGGGGTGGTGGGAGGAAAGAGGGGCAGAGGCCAGAGGAACAGGAGAAGGGAGTGCCAACACTATCCACAGCCCCTCTTCACTGGGGTCCCTAGGGGAGAGGGCCCTCCAGGCAGTCCCCGCATCCACACTGCTGCTCTGAACCCACCAGCAGGGATATCCACCCACCTTTGCCACTTTTCTCTCATCTCCCTTCTCTGCGGCCACCAGGCTTCCCAGGCTTTCCTCTGGACATCACTCTGCTGCTCTCTTGTCTCTGTCTGTTTCTTGGTCTCTCTTCTTCCTGTCACATTCTCTCCTGTCCTCTGAGGTCTTTCTCCCTGGCTTCCTCTCTTGCTCTCTAGGGCTCTCTGTCTCTGTGCCCTTTTCTCTGGCTCTCCTGTCCCCCTCCTACCTCCCGCTGCTGGGACAGGACCGTCCAAGCGCAAACCTCATTCTTCCCAATCTGCTTGGTTGGGGTGCGCGACAGGATAAAGCACCTCCCCGCAGGTCTTGGCTCCAACAGGGAGCGCGGACAGAACCTCGGTGTTCCCCACGCGCGCCGCACCCGAGGCGCTCCCCTCCGCCGCGCTCCGCGGCCGCCTTCATTATGCGCTGCCTTTAATGGGCGTTTGTCAGCCCGATTTCCCCGCAAGTTGTTTTTTGCGGACATCAGTCATCGGCG